GTTCCTGCTCTCCATGTGCAATCTCGCATTTGTTGACTTCGCCGACACGTTCATCGTGTCGCACCGGCGCGCAGTTCTACCTACGATCGATAGTCTACAAGAGAGCCCGAAATGATTCCCGTCGCAACGATATACATGCGGGCAACGTGACGTCACGGCAAAATAATCTACGTCGCAGAATCAAATTCGCCGGTACGAAGGCCAGGGTCCTGCACTGCCCCCGAAAGAAGAACAAGGACGCACCGTCGGGGAGCGGCGAGTTTCGATTGGTCCCTCGGACGACGTTAAGATCGATCGTGAAATGTGCGCGGTGGAAAAGGAAAATCGTAGCTTAAACGGTATAGTATACTGAAACAGCTCTAATTACCAAATACGTCCACTATCCAAGAAGCCTAACAGTGGTTTCGGTACGTCACTTAAAAAGCAATTGTGGCAAAGACAGAGGGAGAAACGAAAGAAATAACACCTGGAATATTTCGACTCGAATGATGCAGCTTGGAGAAGTTGATTTCGGGTAAGGGAGGAAGGATGCGCTCTGAAACAGGAATTAAAAGTGTACCGGGCGACACGCCGAGCCACCCGCAGGGAGACCAAGGTCGACAGGATCATGAAAAGTTTGGCGACTGAATAAAGACCCGACGGGGCTAAATACGAAGGGGAAAATCACGAAGGAGAAAGACTGCGGGAAGAGATCGCGTCGCCGTGAAGATTTGGAATATGCGGTTCCTCAGCAGAGCCTGGCATCGAGTGAAGAAGACAGAGAACAAGTTGGAGTCCACCGAGAGCACCATACGAGGCACACGATCGCTATTTTGTTACGACGATTCCTCCAGAATCTCGTTTCGCCGAGATCAGTCGATCAAGTTGGAAAGGTCAATCGCGAACTATGCGGAAAGTGCGGCATTAAGGATGACCTCGGCCTATGAGCCGCACAAAACTATATGCCTCTGTTGTATGTTTCGCTATGACGCATGAAAGAGACTACGTATAGTTAACAGCAATTTTTCATGACCGGGACAGACCGATACTTGGGGATACAGTGATCGCACAGTGAACCGTTTTCTCAAATACATTTGTACGCCTCTTGACTGATTGCGAGACGTTTATATTAATAAAATATTGTTATCAAACTACCAAGCTTCAGCGCGACCGAAAAATGGCACCTTCTCCAATTAATCGCGTTATTAAAGTGTGACGGCAAAATTGAATGAAATTGAATGAACTCGCGAAGACTGCGTTATTTTTAATACGATGAAATATGTAACACATCGTCAGGTATAAATTTATTGCGTGGCTAAATGTCCGGCCGTAAAGCAAAATGCGGGAATATGATCGAAACAAACGTGTCCAGCTTTTAAATCCATCTATTGAACCACTCCCGATTCTTCTACCAAGATGAGTCGTCCGTTAGTGCTAAATTTAGTTTACTTCGTTTCGGTCCACGTATATATAGAAACACTATTTGTAAAAGTGGTCGCGGATCGCTATCCTAGAATTAGTTGAACCAGTTTATCGATGCGGCACCTGAATGATTTGCAATATTAAGAATGCACTCTTCTAGCAAATACGATGGACTGACGTTTCATCGTGTGAATTTTAATTTGCTCGCTGCCTCGCCTTGATTGAGACACGTACAATTGACTTGGGCAAACTAATACTTTTCAAATCTCTTGTTACTCGGTGTATCTTCGTGGAGACTATATGCACTGAAAAAAAAAGTTCACTACCGTAGCTAAATCACGATTTGCTAAAAATATTTTGCTGCCGCAACTAGAAACTTCTACACCACAGCCAACGGTTTGCTGTCACACTTAATACAATAAGCACAGTCGCAAAATATTAGCTATCACAACTAAATATTAGCTGTCCATATTTTAGAACTGAAATTTAGTTGCCACATGCAGTTTTTGCGACATTTTTTCCGTGTGGAAATTTTCACTGAATCGGCCGAAGAAACACATTAGTCAAAATAATTAATAAAAATGTTCAACGCACGGAGGGTTGGAGTGAACAAAGAGCAAAATCGTCATCATACAGACGCGCCCGGCTTAGTGTTCAAAATCTGTTGTAAGAGCAGACACGTAATATCCGGTCTCAAGTGATCTTAGCACGTTCGCTTAGGCACTCGTTCATGCTCAAAAAAATAGTTATCTTTTTATATCACAAAGAAGAGGACAGAGAGAGGAGAGGATAAAATGGAAAAAAAACGAAAGAAAAAGAGGGAGACTGCACTGTCATGGAACTAGTTAACGCGAGAAACGATTATTAACGCGATGACCGAGGCTGTGATAAAAGTGTAAGAAAAGGCGTTATTTTCGAAACAATTTGACTGTACTAGTCAGAGAAATGCAAGTGGACAAAGAGCGCAAGTTCGTAAGACAGTATTCTGCGTCAGGCAACCATGCGCATCGAAAAGTCGTCAAACGGTATCTCTCGTGTACCGACCATTTAAGCTTATCGTTAATTAAACTTCGTGGAAAGAGATCGGAAAGTCGTTGAATTTGCAAAAGAATTCTCTTACGCGGGGCACGTTCTCAGCACTCAATCGGGAGACACGATCAATAATCGGTGACAATTAAGTATTAAGAACGTGACGTGCGACGCATACTCTACACTCGGACGACAATGGCGTTGTTTAACAGTAATTTTTTTATGTAAACACACGCAGTAGAATAGACACTTGCATTCGGAAGAAAGGAAAAATACGTGGAGACTGCAATAATGTAGAAAATCACGCGAATCGAGTTCCATTAGAATTGCCAAAGTTAAAGAGACCTGTCCCGAATTGCAGGAAGGTCCGGATTTGGCTGAGGTGACATTTTTCGCTGATAAATTCTCTCCTGAGATTTTAATACAATTCTTATCAGCGTCAAAAGTCAAATTGATTTAATTGATTGTTTCATTCGAGGTTTCTCGAGTTGAAAAAGCACAGAGAATTCGCAATGTTGTTATTAAGCTACGAAGATTCAGCTCGGCCGAAAAATGACACCTTCTCCGATTAATCGTGTTATCAAAGTGCCGGCTGACGGCGAAATTAAATGAAATTTAATGAAATCGCGTGGATTGCGTCATTTTTACACAGCACTCAGGAAGGAGGATTATCGCCTTGATTTCCCAACGAGATCACAGTCTTAGCAAACTTCCCCAAGTTAGCAGCGATTCCCTTGGCATGATTTCTCGAAAAGAAAACTACGCAGAGAGCACCGGCGAGAAGGAGTCTCGTCGGCGCACGATATACCGTTCGGATGCGAAAGCGCGGCCGAGCGGATAATCCCGCGTGAGGACCTCACGCGTGGCCGGAGCGCGTTGCGTAAATCGTGCACGTGCACGCGTGCGTGGATGTCATCGATCGCCGATTCGGCCGTACGCGCGCCGTGCCGATTCAAGATTCGAGAGATCCGCGCCGGAGGAAGGAGAGACGGCGAGATATATACCTGCCGGAGAGAGCGCGCGGAGGGCGCGTTCACGGCGGAATCGATAACGCGCGGAGGAAGGCGAGCGCGTCGCGGGGAGGCCACGACGACGACGTCGACGACGACGACGACGACGACGATCGCGACGCACGTCGCAGGTAAATGGGTCGCGTGACGTGAACCCGCGCGCGCGCGCGCGCTGGCGTTCTCCAACGACGTTTGGCACCGATTTTCGCGAGAGCGATGGGAATCCGACCGGTTTCCTCCGTCAGCACCTCTCGTCCCGTCTCTCTCTCCCCCTCTCCTTCCATTCCTCTCTCGCTCTCGTCGCACGGAGTTGCTACATGTCTCGCAACTCACCTGACTACACCTGTGCGCCGCGGCCGTTCTCCGGAAGCGACGTCCACGGTCCGCGGGCGCGTAAAAGCGATGTCCGGTCCGTGACACTCAAACTGTCAAACCGCGTTAACGTTCGCGGCGCGTGCGACACCGCGCGTAAGTAAGCACGGAACGAAGAACCGGGATGAGACGGAAGGAGGGCGGTGATAAGGGCGCCGAAAGGGAACGGGAAGGAACGAGCGGGCGACGCACGGAAGAGGGAAAACGGAGTGGAGGGAATGGGGAAATAGCGGGAGAGAGAGAGAGAGAGAAAGAAGCGCGTGGCGATTGATTGGCAACGTGCAATAATTAGCGCGGGAGCTGGTCTCGCTCGCTCGCGATAAGACAAGCCGACTCTCTCCGTCACTCTCGCGGGGGAGGAGGGCGGCGACGTCCACAGAGCTCGAGGAGAGCACTCGGCACGCGCGGCTCTCTATCGCGGCGGCATTTTCACTGAGGAAACGGCGGCAAGGAAACGAGAGAGCTCTTGGTGTGCGCGAGAGACCCCCCCCAGCCGGAGCCCCGTTTTCGTAAATGCTCGGATCGCCCTGCGCGTATCGGGAGCGACCGGAGCCGGGATACGCATGCGCTCCCATTCACGGCGGGCGCGCGCGCGAGCGCGAGCGCGGCGCCTCTTATCAGCAACAGCGTCACGTAGTCGGCGCGGGGGCGCGGGGCGCGCGCGTTACCTCCCTACCACCCTGCTGGCCGCCGTGCGTGGGAGGGAAAAAGAGACGGGGCTTTTCGGCCCGCCGCGATGGAGGGAGAGCGCGAGAGCGCAGCAGGGGCGAAGCGGGTCTCGAGAATACCCTGAGTTCGTAATGTTCATCATTTTTCGGGGGGAAGGGGGGATTTCTTGGAATAACGTTCGCTCGGAATGGAGAATGATAGTTAATTTCATTCTCAATTCAGAGAGTATATGAATAGAAATGAAAGGAGGGAGGTGGATTGCAGGTTTTTAAAACGCGCTAATTTCCTTTTGGAGAAATACCGAATTAAAATGCCAGGAATTTCTCCGGTTCCCCTTCTACACTTTTAATTCTGTAAGAAAGGCTCCCAAAAACGCGCGAGAAGAAGCACAACGAGGAGAACATCAACGAGGTACAGAGAATTCAAACGTCGAAAGGATGATACTATTATTTTGTATATCCTTAAAATGTTTCTTCTAACGAAATATACAAAAATGCATAAAATTATTAACGAATTATATCAATCATATCTTCATATATTTGTCATTTCTCTCTTCTTTGTTTAAAGGGAAGAGATGTTACTGTTACAAATCTTTTCTTATCTTAATAATTTATCTTGCTTTCAAGAAACAAAGACCACCGTTTTTCTTACCTTTAATTGCAGGAGAAAATGATACAGCCTCGAGATGCATTATAATCTTAAGAAAAAGACCCATTGTCAACATAATTGATACACGAAATAATTCTTGATCGATTCTGTACAATACGGCTTAAAATACATATAAATTGTTAGATAAATTATTTCCCCTTGCTGTTGCAGTATCGCAATGTAAATACACAAAGAAACTACTTGTGCTCCCTAAATTGGATCGGGCACGGGAATTTTAGGCATACGGCCTTCCATCATATCATTCAGCAGTACGCTGATCTCCTGAAAGAAAATAACCAATTTAGTTTACTTGTGTAACGCGTAAAATTGACCAATCTTCTAAACGGGCTAACATTTATTAACCATCGAGCCAAGATAATGAACATTGAGCAAACACGCGTACCTCTTCCCGCTGCATTCTCAGTCTGTCGATAATAGGCTCGTTAAAGTTAGGGTCGTTACTGGGATCCTCCAAAGTACTTTCATCGCTCCTCGACACTTGCGGTATACGTGAAACGTAGATCTGCTTGATAGTGTCTAAAATTGCCGATGGTCTCGTTTGGGGGAATTGCAAATCGATTCGCCCGAAGGAATCCACGCCCGCCGGCATCATTAACGGTTTCTCATAATCCGTACACTTGTCCTCCCTTGCAGTTCATTTTGGTAAAAGGACACAAAATTTATCACAAGTATAATTTATAAGACATAAATGAGCTCTTGATAAACGTTGAAAATTTATTAATAATCATGCAATATTGCGAGCCAAGTTCCATCAATGAGACTTACGGAAATGCAGAACCAAATCCGTAATGGGACAATATATCTTTGAATCGTCGTATGAGAAGTTTATCTTTAGAGGAATAATAATAAAGACTCGCACCCAAATTATGAGCTGTCGCTCTCAGTATCTTTCCAATGAATTCCTTTTTACTCGAATCAAATTCCTATTGCAAGTCAATGCACAGAAAGAAATAGATAAATTACAAGTGTTGTAAACAATAAATTTATTTTATTGTTTATAATAATGTTAAAACTGTACAAAAATATATAAATTTTGCTAAAGTTAACAACTTATACATATACCTACTTTAATGCTGGCTTTGTTTAAACTTAAACTTTTAATATTATCGAGTTCATAGCAACACTAACATTTTGAAAGTAAAGTCATTGTAACATTTGTCAATTTCGTTTTTACTACAAAAAAACGCAGAAAAAGTATGCACTATCTCTCTCTCTCTCTCGTTCTTTTCACAATATATAAAGTACATCTGTATGAAATACCTTGAATTCATCATAGCGTCCACCTATAATGCACAACTTCATTAAAAACGGGTCAACCCCACGTTCCAATTCTTTCTTTCTATCTGCTGCCCTTTTATCCCGCAATTCTTCACTCGTGTTAGAATCGTAACTCATTTTCAAACCATTTTGTATTACGGAAAGGGCCTCCTCAAAGGAAGACCATAATTCCTCCGGTCGCGATAAATCTAGCATTATTAATAACACGGTGTGATGAGGAGAATGTGTTAATGTAGAGCCCGTCATCGCAACAGATACCAAAGAAGAAGCCAAGTGGCCCACTTCCCACACGTGCACTATATTTTTCACCTGCAGCAGCATGGTTAGAAATGTAGCTCAATGTTTAATTAGCGAACATTTTGATATATATATATATACATATTACAGTTTTAATTGTAAAAAACTATCACGATTGTTGCTAAGTAATTTTACTCTTGTAAGCAAATAAATTTATTTTAAAAATTTCGAGCTGACATATGTTTGTGATTCTTCAGTGCAACGAAATTAAGATCTATCATTCATATATTTTCGTAGAAATACAGTTGCTGTGTGCCACTTACTAAACTTTTCACAGTTTTACGGCCAAATGAATAATCCATCGCTATAGTTGGTTTTGGTCTCTCGTCTTTTTCAAGAAATCGATACACCATTGTTGTTTTACCCTAGAAATGCAATTGAAGATGCAAAGTACGTCACGTTATGCAGTACGCTCCTAATTTCATCACTTACAACTCCCTTGCTGCCAAGGATAATAATGGATCGTTCGTGAGTTTCATTTGGATCAGTCTTACGTCTATTTTCTTCTTCTACTGCGAGCCGTAATGCAGTTTCTCGCATAGACTCCACGCTAGAAAGTTAATTTTATCGTAGCTAGTTTTATAATGTTAAAAACATATATTACGTTAGCTGCTATAAATAAATATTGTAAATAAAGAAGGGGAACAATTACAGATTTACTGAACTATATCTGCATTAAATAACTACAGATAGAGTTTCCTTCCTAGAATTATTTATTTATCAATTATCACTGCAAAATGAGCAACGCTAAAAAGTATTTTTATAAATATTACTCACTATCTCAGCTCTCGAGATTATAATTATTTTAATAATATATTACAATAATACATGTTTTTTATACAAAGTTATAACAAATTCAGTATATAACATATTATAATAAATTAATCACCGATTTTCTGCAGACATTGTTTTTAAAAAACAGGATGGAGAGTGATATTGAGGACTGCAGTTCTACTCGCACGACTCCATGTTTCTTCAGGTTATGGATATGTTTTACTTTTTATTACCATGGAGACGAGGCAAAGCGATCGTTTGAGACGCCCGCTCCAGTTTGACGTAAATTTATAAATTACTAAGTATAGAGAGATAAATGTATCAGTGTGCAACATGCGTGAGAACATTTGCGTATACAATGTAGTGCAACAGAGCATAGTCGGTCCCCAATGCATGTAGCTGTTTAGGAATGGACGGTGAATAATTAGTTCCTGTCCAATCTTGGATCATAAAACTTTTGATAGGCATTTTAGGATGTATATTTAAGTAAATAATATTACACTCTGTTTCCAGCTGCAATGATCTTAGTTTTTTTTTTATGTTAATGTTCAGAATACATTATGCACGATAGTACAAGATATAATAATTTACGTCTACATTAATCATTCTTCTGCGTAACGTTTCAACTATATGCGCGATGATCTAACGGAAGATCATCAGTCTTTGTAAAGAAATCTGTAAGGATGCCTTTGTAATGATCAGCTCTGAACACCTTCATTCAGTTTCGATTTCGATATAAAAAATGTTTTCAGAGCTTTATAATATGCTGACACGTCTCCACTGGATCACGACGCATAACGCGTAATTCACAAATTTATATATAAATTAATTCAATTATTCCTTTTTAATGTATCTTTGTTGCATACATTATGTACAACTTGGACTAGATAAAATCAGGAATGGAATGCATCCTACAAACCGTGATAAGATTCAACATTTTGTAAATTATTACACGTTAGCGCATAGTGCTTCTAAAATAACAGCCGAAACATTTTTATAATTAAAAAAACATTGTCTTCCATATATAATTAACGAACTATCAATTACACGCCAGGGTCGCATTATTATAAATTACGAAGTAAAAAGTACCATCACGAATTCTTTTTTCGCTACAAAACTTAAAAACGTTCCTTTGTTATAATTTCTCTTAGGCGCGGACCATACATTGCCACTTACATTTTTAATTAATTATAATCAATATGCTATTGATGAGAGATTTACATAATAGATACATAGTTAATTGAAACAGTCGTCATTTTTTAGTTTAATTTAAATGTACATTGCATATCATACAATTTGGTTAATTCTGATCACTGATATGAAACCTTTATCATGAAAAACGACTTTTAAAGAAACATATAATTTTAAATATATAAATTGCGCACACAGTAAATGCAGCATTATACAAAAACCTCTTGAGTTGTTACGTTTGGTCCTGTTATAATATCATAACTGAAGCGTCTGCAAAATGTAACGTTAAATTACAAAGAAATGGATGCTGTTTCCTCTCTGCAACAGTTTCGTTTATACTTGCTCTGAAAAATAATATTCTAAAAATTTCTATAAATATATTTATGATAGTGTGTCTGTGTGTGTGGTGTATATGTGTATGTGTGTGTCTACTATGACATACACACACTCTACAGCAATTTTGTTTGAACACTATGGTCATTAAAAATACTTTGAGGTGAAGATAAACATATTATGGTATAGATTACTTAATGCATCTATGAAACTATAGTTTTAAATGTGATCAATCATTAAAAAAACTAATGTTATTTTGGACCAATGCAAAATCAGCGATTATTAAGGTTTGTTAAATTCTTTCTTTGATACTTAATTTTGTAGAAACGTCTCGCTTATTGTTCCTCCTCGCATCAAATCAACACAATTATGCCAAGATTTATTAATAATTTATGAATAAATATTTAAAGTGCTCACAATGCTGAAAATTCGCTGCAAGTAATATTCTTCTCACAAAATTCATGAAATAATCGATGAACACTGTTATCATGTGTTTTAGCTACAACGAGTAATACAAAGGAAGACAAATGCACAGATTCTTTTTAGTCACCTCTTTCTATAATATTTCATTGCTTCTATAATGCAGTATATCACGCGCTCTGCATGTTATCTAGTCCATATGTCACTCATCCAATTGTCATTTAACTCTTCGCTCGGCAGAACTTTTAGTTTCCTTAAGGCTTCAAGATAAAACGTAAGTTCCGACGTGACCACGCCGTGTTGCGGGCCACCATTGTTCACTATATTCATTTTAACCAGTTGCTCTCTAAGCTTCTCCTTAAATGATGAATTTACTGTACGATAAAGAGATTGCACTTCGACGGTAGGCAAAATTCCAGAAACAGCTTCGTGAAGCTTCATTAGATAACTGTAAATAAAAATGCGATTTTAAAAGACGGTGATATTAGAAATCATAATCGGTATTGCAGCACTCACCTAGAAATATTTCTGAAAGATTTAGATGGCACCGGGGGTCTTGCCGTCCACATGGATATTTGTCCGCCTAACAAATTGTCTACTATAGTCAGGATTTTCCCTTCAATTTCACGAACATGCGCGCGAATATCTCTTTCGACACTGTCTAATAAAGCTACTCCTCCACTGATACCAGATGTGCCAACGAGCCCTCGGCTTGGATTTTGTTCCGTGAGTGCTGAGCATTACAGGGCGTATAGAATATTGAGCAAATCTTTATATATTTTACGTTGTCGCTAAACTTGACATACTTTTTTCTATTTAATATACAGATTTGGCATGTGAAATTACCTTGAAAGTGCGCCTTGACAAAGGGCATAAACCACAGTATAAGTTTAAGACTTCGCGCCGCCAACACGAGGATCGTACTTGTGATGGTTTTCAAGCCCGCAACCTGCATTGCGCCCGCACCCAGAACTAGTTGACAACATCGGGAATTATAATGTCTTAATAATTCGGCTAGTTGTCTCCCAATTGTTCCAGACAAGGCAACTAATTCACTACCAGTCCTAAAAAGTAACCATGTGTTATATTACGCAAAGCTTATGAACAACGCTTCGTATATAATCTGACTTTACCTGCAGTATTCGTGTATCATCTGTATAAGCATCAGAGCAGTTCCAACAACGGCAAATTTCTCATCGCCAACCATGATAAAATTTTCCACGCTCTCATTCTTTATATCGTCCTCGCACGTGGGTACTTTAAGCGGAAAACACTTCTTTTCATTTACATACGATACTAATGATTGAAACTCTAACGGTACGTCAGCTTGTTTCCACCTTTCAGATTCCAATAGTAACGTCAACTTAGTTTTGCGTTCATTATGAAAGCGCTGTACAAATTTACTTGCTTGCGCCTATAAAAAAGACATCACAAGTTATATACTGGATAGACAAGTCGTTCCATCTAACAATGAAGAAATCAATTTTACTTAAATGATTTAAACGAATGGCAATCACCTTAAATGCCGATCGCAATCCGGTACACTGTTTGCCGCAAAGTTTCTCGCAAGCGTGCGTGAATTCTTCGACCATGTTAGCTAATTGGCAGACTTGAGCGGTCGTTGCTCTCTCACTCAGCCAAGAACTCTTATCCGTTTGACATTCTTTATCTTCTAATTTATTCAGTGAAACATCAGCAATTATCTTGTCCTTATCGTTATGGAATTTATCCTTTTCATTCGTTCCAGCTGAAAGCAGGTTCCCCATTCGCTCGTGGCAATAATCGCATACAGAGGTGATCATGTCACCGAGTTTAGTAATCACTCGCGAATGCTCTTCTCGGGTCAATAATTGATCAGGTACTGATTCGTCAAACGAGCCGTCGCATAAACGTCCCGCTGATAAGTCCGCAGTGTCTCTCATTACATCATGAACTGCCTAATAAGGGTATTTTATTATTATACGTACGAGTATAATGCATAAAATGTATAGAATGTCTATATCTACCAAGTGTTCCACAATTCAAAAACAAATAACAATTGTTATAATCTCGAAATATTAATAAGTGGAAGTACTTTAAAAACAAAATGGAAGAGACTCTGTTTTTGTAATAAATTTTTAAAACTTTAACATTAACTTTGCTGCCCAGTTACGAAGATTTTTAAGATTTTTAATATAAAAAATATAAGAATCTGCATTAAATAGCATTAAGCAAAAGGTGATAAAGAAGAATACATATGGAATGTATCGTTTACTCAATATTATATACCTTAACTCGTAATAGAAGAAATGTGAAAGACTGTATAGTGTTGTGGAGCAAAGTTAATCTTTCTGTCAATGAGAGACCTCCAACTTCGAGGGCTGCCGCTTGCTGATCGCTACAACAATCGCTCGCCGCCAGAGCCTCTATCACACGTTGCTTCGTTAAGGCTCTTACAGTGGTCACAGCTTCCTCTTTGTACGTGTCCACAAATTGAAAATGCTTCTGACGTAGTAGACCAGAAATGATGGAGACCAGTTTATCCTGTTCGTTGAGGACGTACAAATAATCTCACTGAGAAGAGATGTACGGAGGTTTGTTCGCTACAGACTAGGGATACAATGCGATACGACATTGTGTGCGTACTTACGCCGTCCAAGACGGTATTCTCGTCACTTAACGGCCTATTGAGATCCGCAGTTGCGTATCTCTGAAACTCGGTCGACAGCATCTTGTCCACAAGCTTCTCCATCTCAGTCAGTTGGGAACTTAAATGTCTGAGCAATGTAAACGTATGGATAATTGTAAAAGCTTTAATAACATTTTTAATAGAACTTGCAAACGAATAATAAATTGTGAAAATAAGTTTTTCAGAATTTATATTTACCTAAAGCTATGTATTCCGTTAAGTTCCTGCAAGAGAATTTCTTGCGTCGTAGAAATAAGGTCTAATGCCGCAACATAATCTGGCGTGGACAACAACAATTGTATCATGGGTTGACTTTGATGTACGGTTGCCATAAGTTTCAACTTTTCTTGAACCAGTAATCTGTTAGACCTAGCGCGCTCCAAGCTAAATAAGAAGAGCAAATCTCAAAATTTATAAATTTATAAAATTAAATATACAGAAAAGTCCTTTATTATGAGATAGGTTTCTAATATGAGATAGCAGATTTTTAACACCCAAATTCAATCACAAATCTCTTTTTGCAACAATTACACAAATCGATTGACGTGTCATTCCTTGCTGGGGTGTGTCGTGTACAAACTTACCGTAAAATTTCTAAAGAGTCCTTGACTAGATGCTTATCGACTTGATGAATATTTTTCCTAAGCGCTTTTAAAACCGTTATAGTTTGAGTTAGTTGTTCCATAAGCACATCATGAGATGTCATTGCGTGGAAAAAGGCTTGAGATTTCGATGCGACTTGCTCTGCTATTCGAACTTCCACAACGTCCAGGTAGTGACTCAGCTGTAACAATGTATTTTGCATAATTTAGCAACAAATAGTGAAATCTCGGGAATTAATTTTATCTACCTTCCTGCGTCATATCATTATTTTTACAGTATAACAAACATTTAGATCTAAAGATATAATGTTACTAGCAAGATTTGTACGCCCATGCGCGTTTACTCTTTCATTTTTTTTTCGTTTATAATCATACCTTCTCTTGCATTTGCTTCACGTGCATAACAATATTACAGTCTTCAGTTAAGAGACCGTCTTTCGCAAACGGAAACACAGCGTCAAAGTTATCTTTGTGTGAAAGATCTAAGTTTGGGACTAAAAAGATCTTTGGAATATTAGCTAAATCAAACGGCAGTCGATCTGAAACAAAAAAAACATATTACGGTTTTTAATGGCGGAAAAATGATATTATCTTTTATAACTCAAAGCAGATTTTAAAAATTCACCTGTAAAGTTATATAGCTAATACTATGTTAATCAAAATGAAACATAAACTTATAGAAAAATTAATTAAACTTGTGTATGAATGTGTAACAAATTAGAATTTTAAATTAAATTGAAGTAGGTTTTAAGCTGATAAATGAAGATAAATTAATTCATTAATTATTAAAGCAAGTGTCCTTAAAAAATAACATGTGACGCACATGAAATAGAATTTAAACTAACTTTTCACAGAGGCAGAGTCTTCTTTCATATTTATTTTAAGATGTATTTCTCTCATTAAATTTTATTCTACAGTATCTTTATAATATAAATATAGAGAATCTTACCCAATGACTTCACCTTTCTAAGGTTAGGAAAATTTTGAAGCAATTCGTTTGGAGTAGTTGGCCTGTTGATATTCATACGCGAGTGCTTCCGATATCTCTGGAAGAAGAAAATGGAAAAATACAGTTCCCTGCTAAATTTATAAGAATAACTTATCGAAAATAATATTTATTAAGAAAAATTGTGCTTTAAACAAATAATTACCCTCGCGATTTTTTTCAAATACATTTCGAAATGTTGCATCGTAACCTCAGGAAGATACGGACTCTTCGGAATGTCCACTTTCTCCACGAATCCATCTCCCCAGGTGCGAGTTAGAAAGTTACTTTGTTTCCCTTTAAACGGATCGTTCAGGACAGCAGGTAGATTTTGGGCAGCGGAATAGACGGTCCACGATGAGCCCGCCTCGGATAACTGGCCATTGCTTTTTCGCTGCTGTTGCATAACTGCGTGCTTCGTGGCGTGCGCTATATAATCCTTGTCGGAAACACCTTCCACGGGAAGACTGGTGCATACTCCATTATATCCATAGAGACACACGAAAGATCCGCCTTCTCTGGAGCAATGCTGATCCCTCAAGTGCCTGAAACAAATTGTAAAGTAATGCACATCCCATGGTACATTCGTAAAAGCAATATACTTATAAAGTTAGCACGCGTCATCTAAAGTGCTTCCACTATGTCGCTTTTCTAAAGCAATTATATATCATTATCGATAGCACATAAACGTTTGCGTCGCCTCGGATTAACGTCCCCAAACCGCCGGCAGAATTGTTTAAAAAAAATGCTGTCTCGAAACGAATCGTTGAACGAAACGGGGCGACGTAACTGATCGACTTTAAGCAGATGGACCCACCTAACGAAGTCTTGAACCTGCTTGAACGTCTGATTAGCGCAATGTTCGCATAACAAAATCGTGGGCACCGAGTCGGACCCCCTCGCGACTTTCGCCATTGCCCCCCGTGTCGCCTCAGCTCACCATCGCGCGGCGTCGACGGACGCGTTTCGGAGCACTGTCTCGCCGTCCGGAGTACTCCGGAGCCCGTCTTTAAACGCGCGACCACTCGGCGATTACACGTCTCCGCTTTACAAATACACACGTTTTACGTCACGGTGGCCAACTCAGAAACGAGACAGCCGGCGTGGCGAAGGTTACTAACTGCTCTCCCGCACATGATCCCCGCCGCTAGATGGAATTTTTATTTATTTATAAATGGTGCGTGTGCCTTTGAAGTATGTCAGCGCGTCATCCACTTCGATGTGGCGCGCACATTTGATGACTCATAATTCACGTTTCGCAGTGCGAGTGACTTCTGTTAATTACTCGCTGTGAGAGAGCACGCGTCACCAGTGTCACCAGGCGATCACGCGCAGACTGAATTGGTCTCTGGTTAGTCAGAATGAACCTGAAACCTTAGGCCATCGGGTAAATTTTATTTTTGGATTCGCTTCCTCAGAGGGCGTGTTTGCAGATCAAACAACTTGCCGCCGACACTTGCCAGTCTACGTTACTTCGATTTTCCCTGCCTACAGGTAGTTACAAAAGATACGGCTATTATTTGAGACACTCTGTAGGCTCTGTAGATAACTTAAAATTTTACTTACAATTTCTTTTAATGAGATAAGGAAATATTGCCATCTTAATTTAGTAAGATTAATATACAGCACTTAAAGAGAATTGCACAAATTAAATGTGTTATAAATAAGTGTAAACAACACTTTTATACAGATTGTTGCAATTTTATTTTCTGTTACGAATGGCATTGCTGCACGCAATCGCTTATACAATTTCGTACTCCGGAAACGCCAAATAAACGTCTCTTGTGCGAGTGATTTCTCACGTTTGTCACGAAATTATCTTATAAAATTCTGTTTTTATTTTCCTTATTTTTTGGTCATTTGTTTTATTTGCACTTTTATATGCGTACAATGTAATTATTTTAATTTACGCTGCCATTCTCAGCATTATTGTTGCAATAATTCAATCAATATTTAATCATTACTCTTGGAAATGAAAAAAGAATTAAGTTAATTTAATCATTTGAGATAGCATGTATAAATATCGCAAAAAGTTTCGATAGAAATATCTGCAGTATCAAAAAAGATTTAACAAAGATGAGTAAAGGGTAGTCTGAAAATTATATAATAAATATAATAAAATATTCTCTTCGTGAGTATAAAAATAATCATTGGCAAATATATAAACAGCTATCTCTTTGCCACTGACAATTGATCAGTTGGCTCTCATTTTTCTGATTATCATCTTGTACTACGTCTGTAACAATTGCTATAAAATTGCAAATCAATTACATGAAACAAATGTTACACTCTCTAAAAGTCAATCAGTAAATTATCACTGAAAACAGTGAACAGTCACTGATTTGCTGTTACAAGTATACCACTGAAAATCGCAGTGGTATACTTGTAACTGTAAATTAGTGACTATTCCCTGTCTTCAATAATAATTCACTGATTGTTTTTTAGCAAGCACGGCTGGTTTACATAATAATGGTTTTTGGTTTTAGTGTTGCCAATTATTATCATCATCACTTTTGCTAATTGTTATTAGTATGGTAGAGGTGGTGGTGTCGGTACGATTTGACCGAGTTGCGAAGTCTGCCTCATCTGCTGCTGCTCCTGCTGCTGTTGACTTCGACGTACTTCGTGAGCCAGTAACTTCTGGCGCTTTTCTTCCATCAAGAGCTCACGATGCTTGTGAATATAATCGTACACATTCGGAAGACCCATAATCACGCAGGCCGACAGTGCTGATCTGCATATGTTCGTGTCTGTCGCCTCGTACCTACGTTTAGAATTGTGGGAATTAACATCATAAGAATCATAAGTACAACGAACGCTTGGAAGATAAAACTGTTGTCAAACTGTGAGTTTTATTACATTTTGTTACTTCCACAAACGTTACGTTACTTCCACAAAAATTTACAACTATTTTTAGCATTAATTATATTGTCCTTTCTTATTGATTGTATAATCCAACGAAAAAGATTGACATCAGGGATTAATTACCACTCGTTTGTTTTCTCGTCGTAACATTCCACCTGGTACGTTGTGGTAACGCCATTAAAACCGCCGATAGCAAAGATCATGTCGTCAATAACTTCGATGCCAAAGTTGCTACGTGGATTATACATATCGGGAATATGGCTCCAGCTGTTCGTAGAAGGTTTATACTTTTCTCCACTGCACATTCTCGATATTCCATTGAAACCCCCTTTATGAACAAAGTCATTGATTTCTTACAATTAGTAATAGTAACATTGTAAAATAAATATATATATATATATAGTTAATATAATAGTTTTGCATGAGAAAAAGAGTATTTTTTAAATTAGCTTTCTCGTGTATATAAACATGCTTATGCGTAAGTAAATTGAACTTTTGTAACATGTCTTAGTACCAATAACATAAACACAGCCATGATAAGATATGCACGACACACCGCTCCTGCGTGACCTCATTGCTGTTATCATTGTCCACTGGTTGGTGTTTGGATCATATACCTCGGCCGTATTCAGACAATCATGTCCATCGAAACCGCCCGTAATGTATATTTTATCTACAATGCACATAGGAAAATTACCAACAAGCAATGTATCTTTATTGCATTATCAACTAAGGATTATAGATTCGTTATTTTTATGCAAAATTATAAGAATTTATAATTTATATATTCGTGCTCATTTTTTCTCAGTAAATAACGTTATTACAATATTCTTGTTCTTTTTTAATATATATTTGAAAACTTCTTGCATCTATATTTATTGTACAGGAATTATATATTTTTTAAAAAATTTATTTATATAATTTACTTACAAAATGCTTGACATCCATCTACGTTTAATGGAGAAGTTGATTATATTACAATGGATACTGTTAAATAAAACAAACATCAGAGTATATTTATGAAGCATTAAGTGGTACCGTTTAATGTCGTTGCACTCGCGTCAGATCTCTGCACGTTCATCGATGTAATGAGAGACCATTGATTTGTCTTGTAATTATAACATTCCGCCGTTTTTTGACGATGATATCCATCGAATCCACCCATTGCGTAAATAAGATCGTTTAAAACTGCCACGCTAACATAACATCTGCGACAAATGAAATAATTCTGATGCGAGCTTTCATTGCTGGCGATTCTATCAAGGAGCTAGTCACTGAACTTTGGTTTGTATTTGTACAATGTACGCAATATTTTTTATGTCTTTTATAATTTTTTAAATAATTTTCTTCAGAATATTGTACGTACCTTATTATTATAACTATATAATTACAACATATGTACATATATTGAAACATAACTATGAATATGTATCTAAATATTTGTTGTGTTTGCATATTGCACTATTTCTTAACCGTTTTAAAATTGAAATTAATCTAAATCGCAGGACTAGCGACTAGCCCCTTTGAAATATATTCGACCTTCTAACGTTCATGGGAGCAACCTCTCGCCACACCTTGGTCACCGCGTTGAAACAACGGCAGCTGTTGAAATAATCGACTCCGTCAAATCCCCCAATGACGTAAATATCGAAACCAATCACCGTAAGTCCATGATAAGCTCGCGGACCAGCCCGATCTGTTTCCTCGATCTAAAAGACTCAAGATTTCACACAAATAAATTGTTAAAACTTTCTTGAAATAAAATGGTCTTTCTCTCCAATTTTAGTATTAGCGGTTCGAGAGTAATGAATGCTAGTTCCAGTCACGTGATTGATTTCTTTTTTTTTACGAACTAAATGGGTGACAATCGACAAGAAATGTATCAGTGAACAATACGTTCACTGATACATTCCATTTTTATACCATGTTTTTCTATTGTTATTTACACATGTGACATAATAAAAAAATTTAATCTTGCAATGCTATATCCAAAGTTTATTGAGATTGCATTTAAGAATCTGTAATGTGTGTCTGATACTACCGGAATCCATCGATCTGCTCTTGTATCGTATGTCTCGATATAACTTGTCGGAGAGCCACCGGACCATCCACCAATAGCGAACAGAATCTCATGCGGGACTCGAGGTCGTGCGATTTCCGGCGTTGGTACTTCTCCATCTTTCTGAGTAATCATTTCTAAATCGTACAAGAATTTCAGAGTTTCGATGATAATCGGCCTGCATGCATCATTGCCCACGACATAAGGGTGATCCTTGACATTCTCCAAAAAAAACTGCGTGTCTAAGAGACCGAGTCTGATGTTTTTCATCAGGTCGACGATGTAGTCTTTTCTAGATTCCGGATCGTGATTTATCCATTTCAGGACCAACTCCCAAACTGTCTGCTCGCTTTTAACATTTAGTTCATCAGCGCCAACTAATGGCTTCAGTTCTTCGATAGGTAAATGTAAAATTTCTTCGCTTCTCTGCGATACCTTATGTAAATCAAGAGGAATGGGAGATTAGATTGTGTGAAGGAATAACGACGTAAGTATAAGTGAATTATTATGCTAATCGCACCTCGACAAAGTGTCCGACAATAAAGCGGTAAGCGTCATTTTCTAGTTTCTTGCAGAAATGTTGACGGGCGAATCTCATCACTCCAATGCAATTTTCCGGCGCTAAATTATCTCTTAAATAATCACAGCACAGATCAAGCACACCTACAATGCTTAAGTAATCCGCCGTGGCCAGCAATTCACATACGTTTTCACGATTTACATCAATGGAACGTAAATATGCATATTCCAACAGGAGATTCATCATCGGACTTGTCACGCCTGGCAGAAGAACATCGGTTTTCTCACGAGAGTGCAATGTAGTTGTAAATAATGCCCTGTGAAATTAATTAAACGACAGAAAAGTCGTTACATTTATTTAATAACTTTATCACAAAAGAAATTGAAATAAGAAATGTGAGTAAGAAAACAATTAAATTGTTATTCTTATTTTTATCAGGACTAATTATTTTACTATCGTTAATTAATCATTTTATGCAGGCTAAATTTATGAAATTTAATGTTCCGGAGCGAATACATCGAGTAAAATTAAACCTGAAATAAGTACTGCATGCTGAAAGTATAGCTCGGTGAATCGGAAAGACACCACCATCTTCCAATCTCAATATTGCGTCGCAAAGCAGATTATTCTGTCGAAAATCATAGAGCGATTGCATCGCTTGTGTGCTCATACAACGACCGCCACTTTCAGCTATCAAACGTTGATTATTTGCATTATGCTTTTCGTTCTTTTTGGTACTGGTAGTTGGCTCTGCATCCATATCAAAATTTGAATAATTGAGGACTTTAGTTCCCTCGACGATACGACGAATTACAACATTTAAATGGTTTAATTAAATTAACTGATTTCTTTAACAGGAACCTATAAAAAATCAGCTAGTAAGTTTAATTCTAACAAATGTATTACAATATTGTAAAAGACTAAAAGAAATTATTCAAAAGTATTATTATAATATTGAAATTATTTTATTAATAATTTAATATTAGACTAATGTTGCATTACAATAACATAATAATATAGAAAGATATAGTATCTTAATAAATTATTAATAAATTACTTTCAATTGTGTTGGTTAAGTATATACAATACTATAAATGTATGCAAATATATTTAAACCATTTTTTTTAATTTACCAACATTAAATCGCTATTTTTACAAGTTATATGTCCCATATTTATTAATTTAGCTTATACTTACTCAGTAAAAATAATATTTTGCTGAAAATTTAGAGCGGTCGCGCGGGAGGTTAACTAATCGTATCAATCTGGGTGTAGGTTTGATGTCTATAATTAACAACTTGATAATTTTTCGATTTGGTATGAAAACCGAATTGGCGGTTAGAATAAAATTCTCTTCGCGATCAGTTACTGAGAATGGTTAGCAATGGCTGAAACGTGCTGCCGTGTGGATTCATATGTGTGCGCTGGAATTTGGAATGTGTCAAAATTTTGACACGTGGGCAGGGAAGGATTGAAGACCGTAGATCCGTAGACGGAAGAACTGCAGGAGAGAGTGAAGGGAGGATGAAATCAGTGAGGGAATTGTAAGAGAGATACAAACTATTTTGTATGATTTTAAAAGCGAATAAATGTCGCGTCTGGCTATGACATGTGGTCTTACATGTCCGCCAATCAATCAAAGACTACTGCTTGACAAAAGAGATCCTTCTGTTCCTGCTTCATAGCGAGCTTGGCACAAGTATTAAATGTGTTAATTCAATTTAAGAATATAGGTAAATATTTTAATAAATTATAGAAAATAAGGCATATCAGTTTTAATGTGTCGATTAAATCAAACAGCTATAATAAAACAGCAGAATGAGTATTAAAACATATTCTTTCCATTATAAATCTCATTATAAGCGTCTACTTTCCCAGTGCATCAAATATACAACATACGCATTAAAATTTATAGTCATTTTTCTGCTTATTTCGATTGTTGAATTAAAAATATATATTTTCCTAATGTATTTACTTTAATCCAACTTCACATCTCTTGATGTAAGAAAACATTTCTCAGCTAAACTATTCATCCATTTTCTATATGCTTGCATTGCTTGTGATATGTACATTCGTCGTTTATTGAATTAATTATTATCTAAATAAATGTTCCATTTTTTACATTGTATTACATTAAAAATAGACGTTATGTCCTCAACTATATAATAGCGTCAAGTATTATCCAGGTTTGAGACACCAAGAACGCGTTGCAACTTACAAGTACACGTGTCTATAGCCATCTTAACGTTGCTACAGTCTTTCTTTTCATCAATGTGTCCATCCTCCTCAACTCCTTCGTCGTTTCTCGATTTTCTTTTTCTCTCCTCCCAACTTTCGGATGCATTCTCCTGCTTCAGCGCGTCGTGCTTGCAACCCGATCTTCTGCAACTATGAAACTGACAGACGGTGTTATCTAGCATCAACCTGCTAATAGATAACATGGACCCGACGGAGTATGGCGGCGTAACAAAACCGTTACTTCTCGAAATCCCATCAAACGACACGTTCCACTTATGAACAAAGGATTCATATCTTTTCGCCGTACGGTTTTTCGTCTGCGTCGGCGTTCTCGACACGATATCCTCCGTCTTCGGTGCCTCATTTGACTGTTCACCGAATAATCGGAACGTCCAAGTGACCACGGCAAAAGTCGCCGCGTTCGTCGGAAACGCTCGTAGGATCGTCGAATTCAAGCCCCGGTATAAGCAACTGTATCCTTCGGCGCGTACAGACTTCTTGAGACAATCAAAAGCGCCCGAGTAACGATTGCTACTCTCCGCTTGTATGCGCGACTTGATGACATCGATAGGGTAAGAAATCACCCAGGAAGCTGTACCGGCGAGTCCCCCGGCCAACAGCATGTGAAGTGTCGAAATCGGTTGATTCGAAGACGTCTTGGTCAGCATCTCGTAGGTCACGAAGTACACGCCGTAACTCGGTCCTTCCCTGAGGAACGTAATGCCTAGGCCCTTGAAGACGCCACGATGACCTTCATGCTTGTAAATGCTCCTCAAGCACTCCATTGGCCCTCGAAAGTTACTTTGGCCCGTAGACTGCAATTGCAGGCGTGTTTTTGCTAACTCGATCGGACTTGAGACAGGAGTTTGAGCTATCCCGGCAGATGCACCGGCCAGGAAATACGATGACAATCGGTCCGGTTCGGACAGGTTCCGCTGAGTATACCCGTAAACGCCGAAGACAATGGAATTCACCACAGCCACCCCTGCGATTGGTGAAGTCATACCCTTATAGAGGCCGTTCACCTGTACGAAAATACATGTGAATAGCAATATTAGATTTCGTCAGCTAATACGAAAGCGACTAAATTTCAGGTGTAATTTATTGTTTCGACACAATCACATAATCTTTTTAATACCGATTCTTTTGCGAGTAAGGTACGCAAGCAATCAAAGGTGCCTCGATATTTTGGATTACGGCAATCCTGAGTCTGCATGTGAACCTTAACCGTATCCAGAGGATATCCCACCATAATACCGGCACATCCTAAAATTCATCAAATAAACTTGTATTGAGACATATAGTCAGTTTATAAACATTAATACGATTTAATGTATTTCAGATTTACGTAAAACTTATATAACGAAAGTATTAGAAAAAAATTAGGTGCGATTTGGCAACAGATTTTTATTTAATAGCCCAAGCCAAAGCGTAAACGAAATATTAGCGAAATTGTTACTTGCGTAAGTTTGATAAAACAAGAAATCGAAATTGTTTGTTTCTAAATGTGTTATTCTTGATCTGTGATAACGAAATCATACGATAAAATAATTTTTATTTTTATTGTCATTTAAACGAGTCAAGTACACATGTCATAAAAGCGATTGATAATTTTAACTTCCACTAACTTGATTGTAGCTTTTTATCAAACAAACAACGAATTTCGCAACGGTATATAATTTTGCAGCTAATAATATACTCTTTAAGTGTTTTGGTATGATGTAAATTATATGAAAACAGTTGAAGGAAAACATAATTAAAAGCTTACCCCCCAAACATCCAGCAAAGAAATCAAGCGAGGAAGCCATGTTTGCCCTGTATTATCTGCAATGACCTTCCACTTGCAATATCGTCTTCTGGAAGGTTCGTCTTCGAATCTTGTTCCTTTCAAGTGTGCATCGAAAGTTGTGTAAGTCGCAGATCGGTTAATTATAGCGGCGAATAAATTCGAATCCATGAAAGCTTGATAACTGATTCCTTTAAATTAAACTTTAAACAAAACATTCGCTTATTCCTGGAAAGCAATTAATTACCAATAAGTACATTTAAGACCAGCTAAAATGAATTTATTTTAAATATCGTTTTCTAATTTACTTCCTGATTACTTTTAAAATTTGTGGCATAAATATTACTAAATATTATTAAATATTATTGTATTTCTAAATATATTAATTATTATTAAATGATTTGTAAAAGTAAAAGTAAAATTACCATAAATTTCTAATGAATTCGACAGTATTGAACGTATTTAATATCCTTTCTTCCTTCTTATATTTCTGCTATCGATTTAAAGTGAGATTTAAATTTGTTCTAAATGAAACGTATCCATTTTATAACATATATTAGAATACATATGCGACTGTTCAGTACAGACATCAAAAAGGAAACCCTAGGAGAACAATAAAACAGAATAGTTGCAACAATTTTAATTAATAATTGATTGTTTTAAATAGTACTACTCTTCACCTTTCTAAAGCTGTATTTAACTTTTGTCGGACAGTAATGAAAACTTCACTTATCAGACAATGCCGGGGGAGGAGGGAGGGGGGAGGGGGATAAATTCTCACGCTTATCACTCTTTCGTTTGTCTCTTACCTAAAATCACATGTACACAACGTCTAAACGTAAATAATCGTTCCGCGTGCTTCCTTCATCGAATCTTCTTTCTCACTGAAACCGGTATTTCTTCCAGCTTCTTCATGGTACAGATTACTGCTCGAATTATCAAACCACTGACATGCCCACACACACACATCGTTGTAACAGTGTGCTAAATATTGCTGAAAAAATATGTTAGCAACATTTATACATACTCCTTAGGCTACCATCGTGACCGAGCAATTCATGGGTCAAACATTTCACGATAAGATTGATCGAGTCTCAATAATGATCAGAATACATGTATTTCATTTTATATTGGCACCATTTGTGCATACTGCAAGTGTTTACGTGATTATTGCGACCGTAATACGATAGATAGTAACGCGAGTTATTTTGGTCATCGCAAAGATAAAACAAGGAATAAAACAAGGAAGAGTAATACACCTAGATCAAGATGATGTAGTATACGGCCTAAGATAACAATTATCATATTGAGATTAATTCATTTAATTAACTTTTGTTTTTCAATTTGTAGAAAAATATAACAAATAAAAATATAAAGCATATTTATAAAGTACATACATACATTATGAAATACATTTCAAGGAGCTAATATTAATCTTTTATGATAAAGAATAATAAGTATCTAGTAAAGAAATAAATATTTTTAAAAATGCATTTTGCAAAAATACTGCAATTAAGCAAGATAGCTAATAACAAAATCATTAACGTCATTTCTGTGTAAAACGATATGACAGTATAAATTTTTCTTCATAATTATGGCATTATTTCTACTACGTTATATTTCTGTTTTGCGTCTAATTTTGCTATCGTATAATAGAATACGTCGTAGAAGATTACATTACTCTTCCTTTCGCACAGTTTTAAAAGAAACCTTATCGTAGTATGTGGTTATCGCGTAGGCGTTAAATAACTTAAGACTTAATAATAAATAATAAGTCGAAATAGACGCGTAAACAACATCTTAACTAATATATGTTATTGCGAACAATATTACCTACAGCCCCAGTGGT